ATCTAAAACTAACGGAAGTGGGGCTGCCCCGGGCTCTGCTGGGTGCTCTCCGCCCCCTCCTCCCCGGGCCGTAGGCCACCCCCAGCCCCAGGAAGGCAGATGCACAACTCCCTGAGGAATGCACACAGTGTGCAAGCCACTGCGGTGGCCAAAGGGAACCTTCGAGTAACTTCAAAGAGCTGAAGAGCCACTCACTCCCTCACTGGACATGAACCAAGAAAAAGGCAGCCCAGTTGGCAGAAGCAGCCACCAGACACGACAGAAGGAACCAGCCAAGGGACGAAGCTGCAGGAGAGGAGTGGTGGGAAGAACCTGGGAGTCCCCAGATCAACCAGCCCTACTCCAGAATTCTAGGTACGTGGAGCCTTACCTACCTTCACGGACGTTAGTCTGAGCACAGTCATCTGCCACTTTTAAATACAAATAAATCAATTCCTGGCCCTGAAGTATTAAGGAAGTGGACTCAGTAGGGTTTAGTGACTATGTAGAGGGTGCAGCTAAGGAAGAGGGAAAGTCAAGCACAGCTCCCAGTCGGGGGCGTAAGTGATCAGCAATTAGAGGAGCAGGGCAGGGATGAGGACGGACCCGAGAGTGCGGACCACACGGGATTCCAGCGGGGTCTGCGGGCAGCCGGGGCTCAGTGTGAAGGACCAGAGGGAGACGTGAGCATAGCACAGAGCTGGGGAGCCTGAGATGCACACGTGGCAGTGGAAGAAATCGCCCCGAGGACAGGCAAAAAGGGGGAAGGCCAAGGGTGGAAGCCCAGAAAGCGTGGAAGGAGCTCGGGAGCCCAAGGTGGCAGCGCCAGCACAGGGCAGCTGGGGAAGGTTTCCAGGAGCAGGCGAAGGGCGGCACTGGGAAGGGGAAGACGAGGCTGGGACAGGGGCTGGATCTGGCCAGCAGCGACCAGAGAGCACGAAGCCTGGACGTGTGGCCTGGGGCCGAAGGGGCCGAGCAGTGGGGCAGCAGCCAAGGGAAGCCGCGGGCTGCTTGGAGGGAAGCCTTCACCCGAGGCAGGAGCCCAGAGAGAAGATGCTCCAAGACTGGGGGCCCGGGGGGCAGGCAACCTGAGCAGAAAGTGTGGGGAAGTGGCAAGAAAGGCCAGCAGGCCAGGACTGGGTTTAGTGGGAAGGACCACTGGCTCGGGGAGGGAGGCTGCAAATGCCGGGATTGAATGAGTCCTGTTTGATCAGGGGCTGCACTGACTGTGTGCAAGCAGGAGTCGCTAACGTGCCTCACGTGCACATGGCTTTGACGCCCGAGATCCCTTACAACGAATCCAAACACGGCTGGCGCACCCAGACCATACACGTGCCTCTCGTGGGAGCTGTGACAGAGAAGCGGCAACTGGGACAAGAATGGGACAAGGCCAGCAGCCTGAGAAGTCCTCTGCAGAACCCCTGGTCCCCACCACAGAGGGATGTTTCTGGGAGCCGCCTTCTTGGAGTTCTCCCAGGAAGGACGGAAAGGAAAGGAGGGAGAGTTTTCTTCTTGTGCTCAGAACTTTAACCACAAAAACCTTCTTCATCTAACCTAAATCCGTCAGATGTAAGTTTGAGGCTTTTTCCTCTGTCCTGCTCTTGCGGACACGGATCCACCAGCTGCTCACCCTCCTCCTGGGACAGCAGTGCTAACTCCTAGACACATGCTGGCTCACATGCCAGCATCTCTACCTTTTTTTTTTTTTTTTTTACATCTTTATTGGAGTATAATTGCTTTACAATGGTGTGTTAGTTTCTGCTTTATGACAAAGTGAATCAGTTATACATATACATATGTTCCCATATCTCTTCCCTCTTACGTCTCCCTCCCTCCCACCCTCCCTATCCCACCCCTCCAGGCGGTCACAAAGCACCGAGCTGATCTCCCTGTGCTATGCGGCTGCTTCCCACTAGCTATCTACCTTACGTTTGGTAGTGTATATATGTCCATGTCTCTCTCTCGCTTTGTCACAGCTTACCCTTCCCCTCCCCATATCCTCAAGTCCATTCTCTAGTAGGTCTGTGTCTTTATTCCTGTCTTACCCCTAGGTTCTTCATGACATTTTTTTCTTAAATTCCATATATATGTGTTAGCATACGGTATTTGTTTTCTCTTTCTGACTTACCTCACTCTGTATGACAGACTCTAGGTCTATCCACCTCATTACAAATAGCTCAATTTCGTTTCTTTTTATGGCTGAGTAATATTCCATTGTACGTATGTGCCACATCTTTATCCATTCATCCGATGATGGACACTTAACGGAAACACGTCTCAAGTTCTCCACAGCCAGCTGAAAGGCTCTGACAGTGAACTGATACTCAGCTAAGACTCAAAGCGAGCTGGATGCATATTTGTAAATGTTCATGTCTGAAGAGGCACAGTGTTCACCCAGACCCCCCAGAAAAAATGAGGAAAATATATGACAAACAGGAAAATGGCTAGATTTCAAACTCACTGCTTGTAAAACTGTACTGCTTACATTTTGAAGAGTTAACAGGAAGCAGCCTAAAATCCCATTACGATCAGAACTGTCTCAAGATGTGAGGAGGCGCCCTGGAGGCTGTTTTACTCTACATCAAGGGCAGAAGGTTCTCAAGGAGAAGAAAAGAGATGTAGCCGGCTTCCTGCAGCCCACACCTGAGACTGTCCCAATGTCAGAGCTCAGGGCATTAATTACAAACATTATACTGTCTTCACACTCTTTTCTCATCAATAATTTTCAAACTAAGCAAAAGATACGAAAGAATGACAGAGACGGAGGGAGGAATGCCTCAGTTCAAACACGACCCACAGAGCGTCCCACACACCTCTTCCCTGTGTAAAATTCCTCCAAGGTCTGCAATCCTTTTTATAAAGGCAATGGAGCTCTTTCCTCAAATGAAATCCCACCTGCTGGCCCTCAATACAGAACCATAAAAACAGCCATCCAGACAGAGGTGTGGGCCAGGAGCCCAACCATCTGCAAAGCTGCTTTGGGGTCCTGCCGACAGGCCTAGGGAACCCAGTTGAAGGTGCAGCCCACCTCGCTTCCATCCCCCGCTCGACACCATGCTGTCTGCCACCTGGGCGACCATGTTGGACGCAGCACAAGGCGCTTGTGGGCCTGCCTCCTCCAGTGGCCCAAGGCCCTCAAAGGCAGGTGCTGCATCTCACACACTGTGTCCCCAGCCTCTCTGGGTCCCTGTCACACTCCAGGTGTGCAGTCTGCTGGGGACACTGTCCAGCACAGCTCAGAGGGGACGGTGACATGAGCCTCACGGTTCCGTCACTCCAGGTGAGGGAAGAATGTGAAGCCGAGACTTCCTCTGACATATTCTTAACTGCTTTCGCATCTGTTCCCTCATCTGATCATTATAAAAGCCCTGGGAATTAGGCAGGAAATAATTCACACCCCTTGTCACAGAGGAGGAAACTGAAGCAGGGAGAGGTTAAGTATGTGTGCAAGGTCACTCACTGGGCCACGGCACGCATCTCTGAGCAGACTGCAGGGGCAGTAAAATCCTACAAAAATAAAATGCTGTAATAAATAAGTCCAAGTGCTTCACACAGAAACACACATGTGCTATTGGATACTAAGATGCCTTTGGGGGATGGGGAGGGAAGAAACTCAAGAGCTGAGACTACTACCTCTTTGTAATTCTCATAACACTAATTTTGAGAAGAGAAAAAAATACTGAGCATTTTTACTTGAAAATAAAATGGAAACATGAAATATACAGTGATAAGAAGTCACAAGAAGCAATTCATTAAAAAAAAGAAAAAAGGTTCCCCCAAAAGTTATGGTTTCATATTATACTGTTTGATTTTACCACAATTAAACTGAAATCTCAAGTATAAAATGTTCTGACATTTTAGGGATTCTCCTGCACTTGGAAAACACAAATTTTACATTTACAAAGGTTTTAACTAGTCAACCCTTATATTAAAAAATGAATTATCAATATATAATTTTACTAGGTTATTATACATCATTTTATCATGAACGTAAAATAGGCACCTTAAAGAAAAACTTCAAATTAGGTTTTAAAAATGACCCAGAGGCTCACCATAAAATAACCACCTACATGCGGCATTTCGATTAATTTCCTTCCAGTTAGTTTGACAATGTGGGTAGTTTCCTTCAGTTGTTTTATGATGTGGTAATCACACCACATACACCATTTCGTATCCTGGTTTTTCTCCTTAACATTATATCATAAGAGCTCTTTCAGATTATTACGTCATCTTTATAACCACGATCTCTAATTTATTGGACTACTATATGATCCTTTAAGTGGTTATACCACAGTTTACTTAACCAGTCTTCTATTTTCGTACTAGTAGGCTGTTGCCAAATTTTTACTATCATAAATAATGCTTTAACGACCACAACTTTTATTTTCTTCCCATTTTGTCTCTTTTAGATAAATTCCTAAAGCATATCACCAGGTCAAAGCAGATGATAATTTTTTAGACTTGCTTAAAAATTGTATCAAATCTTTGCCACCCCAAAGATCGAATGCATATTATTACCAGCAATGAATGAAAATACTTATTTGATTAAACCGTTACGAATGATAAATAAAATCATGGGTATCATTTTCTTTGTTAATAAGTGAAAATATACCCTCTCACTATGCTATTTCCCATTTTTTCCCTGAGAGTACATACTTTCCCACCATGATTACTGACTGGTTGAACTTCTTTTGTGAATGAATTATGTCCATTATCCATTTATCAATCGGCTATTTATGCAGATTTTAAAGTAAATTTGTATGAGTATTTTCTATAATTAAACTGTTAACTCAGTATTCACAGTATCGGTGGGGAATGTTATTTCCCCAATCTATTAACACATGAAATTTTGGTGTTAATTTTTACCTGGACAAGCTCAGTGTTCTTTCCCTTTGTCATTCTTTACCAGCCTTTGAGACAGCTCTCCTCCCCCCCGCCCCCCACCCCGTATTAGTACTTAACGCTTTTCCCCCTCAGCTCACGTCGTTTTAACATGACACATCATGTTCAAGAGGCGTTACCTGTTGGTCATCGGGCGTCCATATGCCACATGTGATTTGACTTTCCAAGTTGATCTCAGATGACCAGTGTCTTTGTCCACTGACAGAACCAACCAGGACAAACCCATCTCGATACGAAATAAGCGCTTGAGTCCCATCGTGGCTCCACGTGAAATCACTCACCTTTGGGACACACAGATAAAAGGAGTCAATTTGTAATCTGAAAGGGAAAGCACTTTTATCAAAGACTAGACGTAGTCATTACCTTAGCCTTTGGCTAAGATCGAGATGGCCTTAAAGAGACAATACAATATGTTGTTGCATGTATTTTAACAATAACACATAAAACACATTATTTGAAAAGCATATGCCAGCGTGGAGGTGCTAAGTGTGTCACACATGGTAATTCATTAAGCCCATGGTAATACCTCCCACAACGGAGAGAAGTAACTTCTCCTTGGTCTCACAGGGCTGGCGAGGGGCAGAGCGAGGGGCAGAGAATGATCAAGGGTTGTGCGGCTCCAGCATCCTTGCTTTTAGACACTGTTCTACGGCCTGCCCCTTATAGTACCAGATTCTCCATCAGTGTCTCGTGGTCACTTATCAAGATAGTAAAGCTCTCAGTTTCTGATTATATACGTTTCTCAGTCTTGCTAACAACATTCCCGCAATCAAAAGGAGAAATAATCTCTAACCGGAACACATTACTTATACGTGGGTGTTCAGTTCTATCAAATGCATTTATTCAAAGGACCACATGTTTTTCCTCTTTTAATCTATTACTGCAGCAGATTACTTCCATGGATTTCCCAGTTTTATGCCATCCTTACACACCTAGAAGAAGCCCAACTTCGAGGTCAAGTATTGTCCTTTACACATACAGTTGAAGTTGATTACGTGTTTGGGATTTCCACATCTGTATTCACGAGTGAGGCAAACTTGTGATTTCATTTTTTATAACGTCTTTGTTTGAATTTATCAGGGTTAATGCTGACCTCTCAGAATGAGTTAGAGGGTAGTCCCTTTTCTTCCATGGCCAGGAAGAATTTGTATAAACTGGGCCGACCTGTTGCTTCAAAGTTTGGTGGAACATGCCTGTGAAGTCATCTGGCTTTGCACTTTTTTATGGGATGATTTTTAATCATTGCTTCAATTTATTTAATAGTGTTAGCAGCAGGCAAGCTTCTCTTTTTATTTCTTCTTGAGTCAGTTCTATTAAAATAATTTTTTAGGAATTTGTCCAGTTCATGTAAGTTCTCAAAACTGTTGGCAAGTAGTTGTTAATAGTACTTATTATCCTTTTAAAAATCACCTTTAGTGAGCTATAATTTATGTGCAATAAATAAAGTTCCCCTTGGCAGTCAATTCCCTGCCCTCACCCTGGGTCTGAGGCAACCAGTGACCTAACTTCTGTAACTAGCTGCTTATTCTAGGAATTTCGCATGAATAGAACCACACAGTATGTGCACTTTTCTTTATGATTGCTTCTACTCAGTATAATAATTTTGAGAGTATTCTGATTTCTTGTGTGCATCAGTAGTTCATTCCTTTTTATAGATGAGTAATATTCCATGGCATAAATATACCACAATTCATTCATCTCCCCAAAGGGCTGGGCGTTTGGGTTGTTTCCAGTATTTGCTTATTACAAAACTGCTATGAGTATTCACGTGCAAGACTTTCTGTAGGCACATGGTTTCATTTTTCTTGAGTAAATACCTAGGAATGGAATTAACTGCTGGGTCATATGGTAAGTGTATGTTTAAATGCATAAGAAATTACCAAGCTTTTCCAAAGTGGCTAAACCATTTCACATTCCCATCAGCAATATATGTGAGTAGGTCCACACCTCACCAGCACTCGGTGTTGCCAGTCTTTTTTATTTTAGCTATTCTAGTAGGTGTGTAGTGGTAGGACACTGTGCTTTTAATTTGCATTTCCCCAATGACTAATATGCTGAGCATCATTTCATGGGCTTATTGATCATATGCACATCCTCTTTTGGAACCTTTCTATTCACATCCCTTGCCATATATATCTATTTGTATATCCGTTCACGTTCACCTATTCATTATATACGTAAATACACACACACATACACATATGTATACAGATATATAGAAGTTTTCGACCTTCTTATTGTGTTGTAAAAATTCTAGATACTATCCTTTATCTGAATATGTGCTGCAAATAATTTCTCCCATTCTGTAACTTGCCTTTTCATTTTCTTAAGGATATCTTTCAAAAAGTAAGTTTTAAATTTTGATGAAGTCCAATATCAAGTTCTTTCTCTTACGTTTCATGCTTTTTGTATCCAATCCAAGAAATCTTTACCTAACCCAAGGGGGCAAACGCAAACTTTCCAGAAGAAGTGTACAGCTTTTACATTAATGTCTATGATTCACTTAATTTTTGCACAGGGTGTATGGTAAGAATCAAGGTTCTACTTTTTAAATTTTAAATGCAGATATTCAGTTGCTTCTGCACCATTTGTCAAAAAGACTATTCCTTGGATGTCAAATAGACTTATCGTGGCGATCATTTCCCAGTAGATACAAATTCTGTTGTACACCTGAAACCAGTATGTTATATGTCAATTATACCTCAATTAAAAAAAAAAGATGGTTCTTCCCCCACTGAATTACCTAGGCATCTTTTATTTACCTTTGACTACCTTGTAATCTCTACCTTATCTACAGTTATGCTCAACTTTTCATTCATAAAATTATTTTAGGTTTCATCTTTCTTCTCTTACTCAAGGGTTGCCAGCAGTTTGTCTACTTCATTAATTTTTTTCCAAAGAACAAATTTTTGAATTTGTTGATCTCCTCTATTGTATGATTTTTTCGCTATTGCATTAATTTCTACTTTTATTTAAATTATATTTTCTTTCTCCTTTTACTGGATTTACTCTGTTCATTTGATCAGAGTTTTATTCCTTTCTAATATACATAAATTAAGGATATATATTCTCTTTTTTAAAAAAATTAGTTTATTTATTTATTTATTTAACTTCGGCTGTGTGGGGTCTTTGTTGCTGCGCGCAGGCTTTCTCTAGTTGCGGCGAGCAGGGGCTACTCTTCGTTGCGGTGCACGAGCTTCTCATTGTGGTGGCTTCTCTTGTTGCAGAGCAGGGCTCTAGGTGCGTGGGCTTCAGTAGTTGTGGCGTGTGGACTCAGCAGTTGTGGCTCGCGGGCTCTAGGGCTCAGGCTCAGCAGTTGTGGTGCACGGGCTTAGTTGCTCTGCGGCATGTGCGATCTTCCCGGAGCAGGGTTCGAACCCATGTCCCCTGCACTGGCAGGCGGATTCTTAACCACTGCGCCACTAGGAAAGACCCTAGGATATCTATTTTCTTATATCACCACTTTAATCCTATCTCACAAGTTTTGACATGTGGACAGTCCGTTATCATTCAGACCTAAGCTTTTATAAATGGCCGTGAACTAGTTAATAATGCGTTTAAAAATGACCAAGTGTCCAGGTATTTGGTCAGCAATTTCCTTTCTTTTCTTTTTTTCTGGCCACACTGCATGGCTTCTGGGATCTTAGTACCGTGACCAGGGACTGAACCTGGGCCCCGGCAGTGAAAGGGCCGAGTCCTAACCACTGGACTGCCAGGGAATTCCCACCAATTTCTTAAATTTATGTTTTTGTTATTAACTTCTAACCCATTCAGAAATCATGGTCCATAATCATGAGAGCTACCAATGGAAATTTGTTTAGGTTTTATGAATGCCCTGAAACAGGCTGGCAAACTATGGCCAGTGGGCCACATCTATTTGCCGCCTATTTTTGTACAGTCCACAAACTATGGTTTTAAATGGTTAGGAAAAAATTTCGAGAGGAATGATACTTTGTTGTATGTGAAATTATATAAAATTCAAATTTTAGCATCCATAAATAAACTTTTTAACTTTATCAACAAAACGTTTTCTGGTTTTCTTTTCTTTCTTGTTAGTACTTACGTAATATCCTCAATTCTGACTCCTCGTCCACAAAGCCTAAAATATGTACTATCTTGCCCCTTCACAGAAAAAGTCTGCGAAACCTCAGAACATGATTAATTTTTGTAAACATTCCGTGTGCGTCTGAGAAAAATGTATGTTCTCTACTTGGTGGATTCAGTAACTACGAGTGTCCATTAGGTCAAGCTTGTTAACTGTGTTGCTCAGATCTTCTATATCTTTGCTGATTTTTTTTGTTGTTGAAACTTCTCAGTATATCAATGAATTTATCAGTTTTTACTTTCAGTTCTGTCAATTTCCTTCACATATTTTGACGCTATTATTAATAAGTGCACACATATTTAAAATATCATCTTGGTAAACTACAGCTTTTATCATTATGTGGTAGCACTCTATAAACGAAACATTACTTTCTATCTTTAAGTCTATTTCATCCGAAAGTAACAGTTGCTACTCCAGCTTTCTTTTTTCCTGGATATTTGCTCAATACATCTTTTCCACCTTTTTACTTTAAACTTGTATATGTCCTTAAGTTTTAGGTGTGGCTCCTAATAGCATATAGCTATGTTTTTAAAAACGTAATCTGTCAAGCATCATCTTGACCGGTGAAGTCAGTCCATTTACATTTATTCTAATTATTGTTATATTTGGTCCTGTTTCTATCGCCTTAATTTACTTTTTCAGTTTGTACTACCTTTTAAGTATTTTCTAACTTAAAAAAATGGATTATCATCTTCACTGTTGCTTATACTTGGAAATGTTCACCTTCATTGAAATTTGTAACATTACTGGACTTTTCACACTTCAGATAGTAATAAAACAAATGAACAAACACCAAAAGGACATGAACTTCTTGCTGTTTTCCCAGCAGGGGTTATAGGTTATCAGTGGTCAGCACGTCCCCCTCATGACAATGGCATGGGGGTGTGAGACAGCTCCTCGACAGCTGGTCTGAAGGTACTGGAAAAAGCTGTTTGTTTTTCAACTCAGAATCTTGGTTTCTCTGACCTTATGTTTCAACCAGTTACGTTATCTAGTTCTTCTTAAGAACTGAAAAGATTTTTTTTTTTTACAGACAACACATTAATTCTGCAATAAACTGTAAAAGTCATTTCATTTTGCAAAGATAATGTTACTTATTTACATGGGTTTTAACTCATTTATCTTTGTGCTAAAGGAAAAACATCTCACTAGAGTGAGAAAACGTATAGCCAGTGACAAGATGCTTCTCCAAGGCACCACCCATCTTACAGTCACAAAAAATGATAACAGAGGATGTTTACATGATCTAATTGCGTTTATTAAATTAGGTTGGCATAGAGTGATAAGACTATACCAAAATTGGAAAAACAAAACCAGGGGAACTGAGTCCCTAGTGTGTTAAGGAAATAAGCAGAAAGCCCTCTGCTGTGGCCTATCCGATGCGGGGGGCTGTGGCACTCCTGGCCCACGTTCAGGGCTCTCTCGACATGACTGACCAAAGCTGAGGAGCAGCCTGGACGGCCCGGCGCCCAAGACAGCCTTTCCTCTGACGGTCCGAGGCCTGGGCCTGGCACAGCCGGCCTGTGACCAATGCTATGAAATAATGCAGGCACTGTTCCAGACTCATTTTGGAAATAAAGGACTCATAATCATTTCCTGAAAAAAAGAGTGTTAAAGCTTCACCTGGCTTCTGCCAAATGTCTGATTACCTCACGACGATCAAAGGCCTGCTATATAACAAAGATCACCTGTCACCTCTTCTCAAGAGTATCACTTCAAGGACGCTCCTCCTCCAGGCACAGAACTGTCCCTCCTGCCCCCAGACACCGCTCCCGGTGCACGGACCCTGCACTCCCTCCACCAGTGAGCCATCCTCACCGGTGCATGACGCTTCTCATACAGGATGCGACTCCAACACAATTAAAAGCGGCCAAATCTCCTCCAAATGCAAGTGCTTAACGATAACAATTGCTCAATGGATTCTGAGGTCTGTAGAATCAGAGTGGCAAACAGCAAAGCTATATGAAGATCTGGATCATATCACTAGATACAGTGATTACTCTGGTCGAACCTGAAAGGAACAGGCTTTTGGGAGATTCTAGGTGCTTCCAGATGTTCTATGGTCCATGTAAGCTCATTCACTTCCAGGTCTGAATGCATCCGTTCTTGTTTCTAACACGCTTTTTTTTTTCGCCAAACTCTCAATGAAAAGAAAGGCTGAGGGTATATGGCGGTGGCAGAGGCCACACGGCTCTGACGTGGAGGTGACGATGTCTCCCTCCTCAGAGAAGCTGCCGTCAGCAGGAGACAGTGTGGCAGCACCACCAGGCTGGGGGGGCCGGACTCGCCAATGGCAGTGAAGCCTGAGCTCTCTGGATGTACTATGAGTATGTGCACCTCTGCCAAAGAGAAAACAGTTGGTTGTCTGGGAACAAGACAGAGTCTCGGACTCAAACCTGGGCTCAAACTCTGGCTTTACAAACCATGAACCAACTCCCCCGGGTGAGTTACTCAACCTCCCTGAGCTGGGCTTTTTCTTCCATTAACTGAGAGTAACAACACCTTCCCAACAGGGTTCCTGTGGAGGTGAGGGATGACACCTGGAAAAGGCCAGCACTGAGTGCCGTTCTGTAGGAGTAACACTCTGTAAGACCTCTTGCCGGCCAAGGTCTGAAGACATGTCTCACGTGACCCCTGGGCCTTTCTAGGGAAAGGCTTCACTCTGGTGGATGGGAGAACAGCGGCACTTCAAAGACCCTCATGGGCAAGTGCAGAAGAGTTGCTGCCTCAAGGCCTGAAGCTGGTCTTTGGTGATGACGCTATGGCGACGACCTAAGGGCAGATGCGCCCCGTGGTGGCGGCTATGGGTGCTGGCACCTCGTGAGTGCTTTAGGCACCGTCGCAACTTGTGGGGACGACCATCATGTGCAGACGTGGCACAGCGTTCTCCACATTTAACCTGCTTTTTGGGGGGGCTGTGCCACACAACTTGCAGGATCTCAGCTCCCTGACCAGGGGCTGAACCCGAGCCACGGTAGCAAAAGCCTGGAATCCTAACCACTGGGCTACCAGGGAACTCCCTTCCATATGGAATCTTCTGTAATCCTCCCAAGTGATCCGTGGGGGCAGGCACCATTAAACTCCCTGTGTACAGATGAGGAAACTGAGGCACAGAAGTAAAGTATCTCCTACTGAAGCGTGACGGACCGAGATGCTGGCTCCAGAGCTCATGCTCTTGACCACAGTGCCCACCTTCTAGGTGACGTGAACGTCTTATGGGCATGGAGGTTTCCACATCTGTGGCTCAATTTCAAGGTCAGTTAGTAGTCACAGCGTAGGCGCCACCTCTTCCTTTTTCCACTCACGGCGGAATACAGGATACCGGTAAGGCCTTACCAGAGTCAGTCAAAATTATGACACCGACCCTACCAAATAAATAAACTCACACAAAGAAGTGTGTTCTGTTTGCACCCAGAGGTAGCTTTGCCTCCTGTGATGGCATCTTACAAAGTTCCTCAGCCTGGCAGTAACTGCCAGTAAGAGCTTCATTCCCTGCAATTTTATGTCACCTCACCCATCTGCATCTTTCGGAGTTGGAGAGCTCGTAGCTTATTTAAGCAACAGATGGGAAGAGAGAGGGTGAGAATTCATTTCCTTAGGAAGGTATAGAAAGGCAGTCACAGGGGAACCACCCCGGAGCCAAACAGACTAAGAAACCCCTTGTCAATAAAGGTTCCCCCAGCACTCGGGCCTGTCAAATCCTTGGCACGGGACCCGTGTCCTTAAACACACGAGACAGGAGCTCCGCGCAGCCGTCCTCGCGGGGAGGGAGAGCCAGGGCCATACCATCAGCCACGAGGACCCACGAAGTGGTTTTTAAAATAGCACAGCTCGGCAGGGCGTCCCCGGAGCAACTGTTTTCCTCAGAGCAGCGACAAATTGGTACCAGAAAGGGAGAGCTGAGTGACGACAACAGGTGGCCCCGCTAACTGAAACCTGACCGAAGGGACTGTGAAAAACTCGGCTTGGGGATTGGCTGTGAGAACGGTCATGTGGAGCTCCCCGTGAGAGAACTAGGAAGATGACAACATGGGAAAATACCTTCCACGGGGCAGCAAAGAAGCGCTACGCCAGGAGCACTTCGTTAAATCGGAATTTAACAGGTAATCACAACACTGAGTGGTGAAAAACGACTTCACAGGTTTAATTAAAGCTTAAGGCCTGGAGCGTTCTCACAACAGCCGCAGAGTGGAAGAGAAGGAAGGATGATCCTTCTCTCGCTCCAGTGAGGTACTCAACGGGCAGCACGAGAAGCAGGATGCTGGTTTCATTCATCTGCCCTCCGCCCTTCCCTGGAGGGGCGTCCTGCCCGCTCACCTGGGCCCCTCGGTCGTTGACCAGCTCCACGGACCACCGCCCTTCATACTGGATCCACACGAATATCCCGCCGTCTGCGTCGCACGTGGCCAGCTTCTGGTATGGCTCGTTCCACCTCACCAACACGACCTAGGAAACGACCAAAAAGACACTTACTGCAGGGAAGGAGCCCGTGGGCCGCAATCACGTCTACGACGTTATCAGACCCAAAACTAACTAGAACGCACGGACAAAGGCAAGGACTCGGGGAGGATGGGGGGTGGGGAGTCCAGCAGAGAGGACACATGGCAGCGCCTCAGGGGACCAGGCCCACGTGACGCGGCCTCCTGACAAACAGCAGGCACCTGAGCAAACCACGAACCACAGCGCCGCAGCGCCCGTCGCCGTGACCGCAGAGCCGGCCCAGAGCCCACCCGTACCCGGCCCTGCCTCCACAGTGCCAGGCTCGCTCGCCTGAGGGCCGTGGGTGGTGGGGAAATGATTGCCTCGAAACCTCCTGTGTGCACCTGAGTCAGGGCACTACTTGCTTGGTACAGATGGAAGAAAGGGTGCGGCCTATGTAATCTCATTTTTTCCCAAAGTGAAATTTTCTGTACCTTTGCCAGGCTACATTATTTCCAAGTAGTTCAGCATCTAAGCATGCCAATTTGGAAAAAATACACAGTTGAAATATCTAAGCTGTTCAGGATTTATCACAGAGGAAATACAAAGAAACTAAGCTTCAAAACGGATGAGTATGAGAACTTAATTTTTTAATTTGAAAAATCCTGAACGTGGACAATCATTTTCATCTTTCTCAACTATCACTCGTTCATGGCCGCAGGTAGGTGGTCTGTGGGATCAGCCTTCACAGAGCCCAGTAAAACCCGTAAGGGCACAGGGCTATGAAGTGGTCCCAGGAGGCACAAAACCAGCGCCGGGCTCCCCAAGGGGAATGCTTCTGGAGGTCACCTGGCCCGCCCGCGCTGGTGACCGTGATCGTTTCCTTCGTTCAGCTCATACTCATCAGATCCATGCTGCACGCTGCCGCGTGACCAACACGGAGGTGGAGAAGACAGGGCCTGCCCTCGGCAAGCGCAAAGTCCAGCTGGGAGCCAGAACAGCCATGGATACGTGGACACATGCGGATGTATGTCAGTCGAATGAGAACTGTTACTAACCAGCAAGAGCACCCCTGCTGCTCACAAGATGCGAATCCCGTCTCCTCCCAGGACTTTGTGCCTCATAAGCTAACAACCCTCGTGAATACGTGGCACCGGTGCATAGGGTCCCCAAGTTCCACTTATGTTCTGAACCACTGACTGCGAGCGGCTGAGGCCAAGGACTGACCATCACAGACCTCCAAAAGCACAGTTCCCTCCTCACGTCCATCTGCGTCCAAACCACAGACCGACACAGAAGCCCTGCCCCTTCTCAAAGCTGTACCATGGGCACCAGGGAGCCAGGAGAGGCCCCCCAGCCTTGATCCACCACACTTGGTGGTATCAGCATTTGTTGCAAGATGCATACTAAAATCCTCAAATTGTCCAAGAGGAAATTACTACCCACTTAAAATGTAAGGATACTGTAGCTCTTTTTTAAAACTGTGCATCAAGAGCTGAAACGCTGCAATCTTTTGAGACCTGGCACTTGTCGGCCAAATCTAAGCTAGTCAATGGCCCGCCTGCAAAACGGATGCAAGTTCCGTGGATGCGGACACTGCCAGCTGCCGGCAGCCCCATCTAGCTTTTGTCCCTCCACTGCGACTGCCTGTCCCTCTCTGGTCACTGCTCTGCAGGTGCCGCGCTCACACCACCTGCTATAACCACAGGTTTACGTGCACCCTCCTCCCCCTGAGCTGCGCCACCGGAGGAAAAGGGCAGAGGCATGCTCACCTCTGAACCCTGACACACAGGAATGCTGAGCATATCATGCCAAACAGCCACACGTAAGTTACGATTCTCATTCAGTTACGCTTTGAAAACTACTTCAAGTAGGTTACTTTCGACTCCCAAAGGCATTTTAACAAGAGCCAACACTGACAGACTGCCTATTACAAACCATTAGGCTGTGAGGATAGAAAGTTAGGAAATCTTTGTCCCTGCGGAGTTCAGTTCACTAAACAGACATAATACCCTGCTCTGTATGCAAGTACAGAGTTGTGAACATACACAGGAGGGGCCTCAAAACAGGCGGACGGGAGGGCAACAAATCCAGATTCATGTTTTTAAAGTCTAGCTTTAAAAATTCTGTATTTAAATTACTGATCTAATTTTTAAAAATAGTAAAACCAACACAATTAAAGTCTTTAAATGCACCACACTGAATGTATCATAAAATTTAGAATTTCCAAGTAGCCAATAAAAACCAACTTCATAAACTTTCGGACCCAACAACAATCGGCCTGAGCAGTGCCGCCCACAATGTGCTGCAATATGGTCCCTCAAGACACCTGCATCACCTAAGCCCACAATCACAAATGCACTTCAGGATGGCTACAAGAGGGCGGAATATGACAAATAAGAACACTTATTTCCTAAGTTAAATACAGTGAACATTCATCTACTATGACCTTCCTTATAATATTTGATGACAAGGCATCACATTTCAGAGAACAGAGGTTAGTCACATTTTCTATACTTTTGCCTTTTTCCTTTAACAACCATCGCCACACATGATTGCATATTTAGTTATTATCAGTAACAAAACCTCTCTTCTTCATGAAGACAGCCTGCAAGTCGCAGCATGACACAAACACAAAAGAGCAGAGGCAAAAAAATGTTTTAAAGTTATTTCTAATGTTAAAAATGTCTTGGTCTTATGACAACACAGTAGTAGTTGTTGGAGAAACAAAGAGTTCACAGACTCAATGTCATCTTTTCTTAATTCCTGATCAGTTGAGATGCAGCAGTAAACAGAAGTGCAGTCCCCATACACACACTTCTTTGCTGTGAGTATAACCGGTATAACTGAATATAGGTGGGTTGCTCCCCTAAATTAGAGGGAGAAATCTTTCCAGTGATCCTTGGTTTAAAAATAAAGTTAAACTGCGATGTTGTTTCCCTGGATTAGTTTTCTCATTTCCGCTCTCGTCTGCGATTCGGAGCTGCCCGTCTTATCTCCCGGCCGCTTATTTCCTGTTCTGCGAATCCCTCCAGTCTGCTTGGCAATGTCAGGACATACCAGAGTGTTGAGGAATTACCAAGCAGGGGCCAGCTGGGTTCTCAGTTGCCCAGATGACGTGGCAGGGTGCTAGGCAGCTGCCCAGGCATTCTAAGGCAGAGCTTCCTTCCCTTTTAAAGGAAAACGGGGCTCCTGATTGCTTTGGGCACAAAAGCACTTCAGCATTTGACATGTTAGCTGAAGTATGCGTTCCTCTACAGACAGCGGCTAAGCCAAGTTCTGACCCAGGTCTTTGATTAGTCCCCAAAATGCTAGCCTGTCGCCCTCTCCAATGTAAGGTTTCTATCATTTTACAGCTATTCTTATCAATCAATACTTATTGAGTAAAATTAACGGCAGAGAAATCTACACTAAAAATACAGTGCAGGTCTGCTGAAGGCCTATTTGGGCTGTACTCTAATGCCCTCAATAAGTCACTTCACCTCCTACTTCTAGAACTATTTTTAGGCAGAACAAAGCTCTAGTGCCAGTTAATCCAAGGCACCAGTTCATCCAAGAATGTTCATCGTTTGAGGCAGGAACCCTTCAAATGCTGTTGGTAGATATAATTTCTACTTTACAGATATATACAGGAAACCACCGCAGTGAACAACCAGTATCACCAATGTTCAGAAATATTTCCCTTAACCCTAAAAGAATGTAATTTGGACATACCTTAAATACAAATAGCTCAAGTTATAAATCTCTGTAAGTGATTATTACCACTCAGTTCTTATTCTGTAATTTATTAAGCGAAACAGCACTAACTTCACTTGTACAAGAAAAACAAAATGAGTGCCAACTGAATTTTAGATACATTTAGCTGTTTTTTAACAGAGAACCAAAAGCACCCTGAAACAGAGGCTGGAAGAAATTCAATGTGGACAACGGCTCCATGCCCACCAGCATGACAGTCCCGTGAGGTCCAGAGCTCAGCCCCGGCCGCACCGCTCACCAGCTGCATGGCCTCGGGCACCCTGTTGACCCGCTTGGGTCCCTTTTCCTCATCTGCAACGGGGGTAACAGCAGCAATCCTTCTAGAGCTATTGTGAAAACTACGATGAGAAAGGACCTTAGGGCAGCAGCAGGCACACAGCAACGTGCCCCTGCCCAGTTCTGGTGCACGCATTCACGCCCCGCACACCGTCTCTGGTTCTCGCCAGCCTGACGGTTTCTTTGCATCTGTACTCCTGAGGCCCGGCATGACGGCAGGCACACAGCAGCACTCCACAAATCTTTCTAAATTAAAATATTCCTGAAGGACGATTAACCGTATTTCTTTAGAATTTTATACTGTTCTCTTTCAACACTAAGATGTTAAAACTAGTCCAAGTGAGATTTGGGGCGGGGCGGGGGGCATCAACAGTTGTACTGAGACAAAACTGACATACCATACAACCCATTTAAAAAGTAAAACTCAATGGTTTTTGTATCATTTATAGAGCTGTGCAATCATCACAGTAAATTCTAGAACATCTTCATCAGCCTCCAGTACTCCCTTCAGCCCGAGACAATCACTGATCTTTCGTCTGTTCATATTTGCCTATTTCGGACACTGCATATAAATGCAATCATACAATGTGTGGCCTTTGGTGCCTGGCTTCTTTCACTCAGCATAATGTTTTCAAGGTTTATCCATGTTGGAGCATGTGCCCGTACTTACTTCCTTTATATGGTCAAATAATATTCCACTGTATGGATATACCATTTTGTTTATCCATTCAGTTGATAATTATCTGGGTTGTTTCCACCTTTTGGCTATTATGAATAATACTGCTATGAACATTTGTGTATCAGTTTTTATTTTCTTGGGTATATGCCTAGGAGTGGAGTTGCTGAGTCAAACGATAATTCTACGTTTAACTTCTTGAGGAACTGCCAGACTGTCTTCCAAAGTGGCTGCTCCAATTTACATTCCCAGCAACGATGTATGAGGTTCCAGTTTCTTCACATTCTCTCCAACACTTGCTACTATGTCTTTTTGATTA